GAGAGAGAGAGAGAGAGAGAGAGAGGGAGAGAGAGAGAAGTTCATTTTGCTTTTAGTTGCATAAAATGTCCCAAAAATTATTGCTGTTAAAATATTTGTTCGATAAAATACAATTCGATAAAATATATTTGTTGGAAATCTAGATTAGTATGAATTTTTCCCTTTTTCATATATGATTTAGTTGCAATACTTTCATTTGCATACATTATAGCAATGATTGCTTGCAATGAATTTGGAGAGAATTGAGATTAATGAGAGGGTAAAGATAATTAATTCATTCGTATATTAATTAACAATTTTCGTAATGGGTATGAAATACTGAGCATAATAAAGGCTTAAAGTTTAACATTGCAAAAAGGTTGATTGCATTGATAAAAGCTGTGGGCGTCAATTTAGAAACAAAAAAAGATAGACGAAGAAACTAAGCAAATGCAACATTCTCCACGTACCTTGCGTGATCGGAATTGCTTCTAATCAACACCTCATAATGTCTATCGTTAAATCATTCAATTCATTGTTGATTGAATTTATAACGTTAATATTTTATCGTGAAAATTATTAATTGAAAGAAAAAATAAAGCATAACTGTGACTATTGTTGATAACTTTCGGTGAGTATATTCTTAGCTTTGATATTGCTAACATAATTTTCAATCGAACAGTTTCAAATCAATTGGTTTTGTCAGCACTTTTTCCAATGACATCGAAAGATTCAAATTATTATTTTACAATTCAATAATTTAAGATTTTTGTTTTCCTCTTGTATTCTTCTAGGCGAATGCAATGTCTTGACATGTCATCAGTCATTCAACAATTCGGTCCATTTCGAGGAAGAGGAGGAAAACGACGGTTAACGCCAATTGATCCCCTTTTAAAGGTTTCAAAAACTCCTGAATAGAAAATGAAGATGAAATTAAGCAAGTTCAATCAAAATGACCTCATTCATAATTTTTGAACTATTCCCTCATTTTAACTGGGAAAGTAATTTACTTTCCCAGTTACAATACAGATAATCGAACTGTGCTGTTAGCTTGTTTATACCATGACGAGCAATGTGAGTTTAGTAACAGAAATTATACAAATTAATTACCAAACTATCGTGCTAATTCACCCAGAAAAATACAAATGCTGAAAAAAATACACAATTTTCTTTAGGAATTGATATAAATACGAATATTTGAAGAAATATACAATGTGGAATAAAGTTCCATTTCTGTGACCTAAGTGGAAATTGTCTAATTCATACTGTTTTTACTGTTGACTAATATCTATTTTTTAATAGCTTGAAGATTCTTTTTAATAGCTAAGGGTTTGAAGAGTAATTTAACAACAATTTAATTTGCATTATTCAGTTACTCTTCAAACTCACAAGGTCGTATTATGGGTGTACATTTCTGCTTAATTATTGAAAACATGACACTTTGTCAAATAACACAGTGTTTTATAGAATGCAAAATCTGCATCATATGCAAATTTTCCAATTTGAACAAAGTTTCGAGAAATGGTCGACACTATTTCATTGTAAGGCATGAAATGGCAAAGAATAATTGGGAGAGTGAGGAATTATCAGAGGTGGATCAACTTTATCATCATGAAATAATATCTCCACCATGTCGTGGTGCGGATCTGCTGAGAACAGCTCGATACAACAAGGTATTACCTTTTATCAGTTCATTTGACAATTTATCAACAGAAGAATTATTAAACGAAACTAATTTCAGCATGAACGATTAGTGTTCAATATATTTAATTATCAATTAAATTAATAATGTTTTATGTCAGCATATTGTCAAATTAGTTTTTCAAAAGAAATTAGTTAATTTGTCAAGCAAAAAAAGCAATTAGTGAGTAAGAAAAGAAAGAAAGAAAAAGTAAAATGTGAGTTGCATTCGGAAAGACCGTATGTGAAGAACAATTTTATCTGTAAACGGTAAATTTATTAATTGTCACTTCACATTTGGTAGCTATTGTTTTCTCATTTACTACTTAGTTAGTCTTTGAGATGAGATTGAAAGGAAATTTAAGTTGTGATTGAAAATGATTGTGAATTATTTTTATTTCAGTTGAGTAGGACAAGCGGTGCAGTAAATGCCATTTAGTCCTTTTAAAAAATCAAGGCGATTTGTAAATTTGTAGGAAATGGCCTTCAGTCTACCTGAACGACAACATTTGAGAATCCATGGCCTTCTACCAGCAGCATTTGAAACCGAAGAATTACAAGTTTATCGAGTGATTTGTCAATTACGAGCAACAAATGACGAACTTTTGAAATATATTATTTTAGATAATCTCCAGGTATTGAACAAATAAGTTCAAGTAGTAAATTCTAATGCCAATTTTCATTTTGCAGATGAAGAAAAACTTCAATTTTTAAAAGTGCAAATAGAATCTTTAGGAATTTCATGCATATTTATAGTTATTTGCTTATGACATCCACTCTTTTTTATTCAAAATATATTTTGAAACTAAATGAATTTCAAGGATCAAAATGAGAAACTTTATTACCGTGTTGTTACTGATCATGTTCGGGAGCTATTACCAATTATTTATACCCCAACCGTTGGCTTGGCTTGTCAAAAATTTGGCCATATTTTTCGACGACCAAAGTAAGAAAAATTTTCATCCCACACACTTATTGTTTACATTTCCTTGTCTATGTCATTAACAAGTCATTTTCTCTGCTTCGCTAATTTAAAAAACCACGGCTTTTTTTATTGTCTTTGAAATGATTAATTTGATTAATTTTCAAATTTTTGTAAATATTGAAGCTTTGAATCCTTTATTTTAAAAATTAAATTAGCAGAACAGAAAAATTACTCATTAATGACACTTCCCACTTCTGTATGCTTCTTTAACTTTAAGTACTATTTCGTGAAAATTGCCTCATTTTTAGACTAATTGAATTTCAGAGGTATTTTTATAACAGTAAATGATAACAGTGTGAGCAAAATCTACCAAATATTGAGTAATTGGCCAGAATATGATGTCAGGGTAAGGGTCAAATATTGTTTGTTGTTTTCATCAATGAGAGACTTTCTTGCATGGCGCTATTATGACTGCACATGGTAGTGATTATCCGATGCAAAAAAAATCAGTCTTCATGGAGGCAGGAATAGGAAGTGTTATATGAAAAATTAACGATATTAGACCTAAATTTCAGAGAGAAAGAGGGAGAAAAAGAGAGCCAAGAATGAGATGAACTGATTACAGGCTATCATTGTCACGGACGGTGAACGCATTCTCGGTTTGGGTGATTTGGGTGCATACGGTATGGGCATACCGGTTGGAAAGCTGTCGCTCTACGTGGCGCTCGGCGGCGTTCAACCCAGCTGGTGCCTTCCAGTTCTTCTCGATTGTGGAACAGACCGTCAGGCAAATTTCCATCATTGTTACTTGTAAAGAATATCACGATACTACTTCTTGTTTTGTTTTTGCTTCAAATCTCAGCTTCCTTGAAACTGAAAAATAGCTTCATTACACTGGGTAAGTAAAAAGGGTCCAAAATCGGTCGGAATTTACATAATTAATCCTCTGATAAAAATTAGTTCTCTGATGTGACAAGAGTAATGATTAAAAGTTATCATAATATATCATGTCACAACACAAAAAGTGATATAAAAGAATTCAGGAATTGTTAGAAGATCCTTTTTACATCGGATTAAGACGGAAGCGAGTACGTGGCGCCGAATATGATTTATTGATTGATAATTTTATGAAAGCATGTGTTAAAAGGTAGATTTTATCAATAATTGCTCCATAATACCACTACTGTCATTAATGATAATTTATTAATAATTAAACAGCGTGCATTCCAACGCACAACTTCATTACCATCGAAATTTCACAGTATTGATTGTCCGAGTATTTTTAATTCAAAATTTATTGGCAAATTTAAGTGTGAAGATTTAAATTTATGTAGATTTGGCCAAAAAACACTGATACAATTCGAGGATTTTGCGAACACCAATGCGGGGCGTTTATTAGCGAAATACAGAGATAAGTATGCAATGTTCAATGATGACATCCAAGGTGAGAAAGATTGTTCAGACATCTTACAAATCAAAAGTGATAAAACAAACTGCTCCATTGTAGGTTTGCTTCAGCAATTATATTTATTGGTTTTCATTTAATTTCATTTCATCGCTTTACTCCAGTTTCTTCAGCAATGAGTATGTCAGAGCATAATTCTGTAATCGATAGGTAAGGCTCATTTGCCACCTCCAATTTTTTCATGTCTTTTCTTTTTCCGGTTCAGGAACAGCTTCCATTGTTATTGCCGGTCTGCTATCATGCGGAAATATTTTGCAAAGAAAAATGAGCGAGCAAATATTTTTGTTTTTGGGCGCTGGGACGGTAAACTTTTGTTTTTCTATTTGCTATCGTTATTTGATTAAAGTTGCAGCCTCCAATTCAATATTAAGCATGTAAAAAGTTTATTTGTAACTTTTGTTTGTGCCCGAATTATTATGATTAATGAATACTAAAATATTGATTTGGGGATACATAACAAATGATCTTCAAAATATTAAAAGATTTTTCTACAGTGAAAATTAGATTTCATATTTTGTTTCAGCAAAAAAGTTGTTGAGAAGCAGAGCTCATATAAAGTTAAGGTAGCGATGCAGTTTAAATAATATAGCATAATGAAGCCTTAGAGAAGAAATTAAAATTGTCGAAGTTATTTGATTGATAGATTTTATTGGCCTCGAAATTTATTATTGGAAGGTACGTTCAGGCAGCGACAGGTATCGCCGACATGTGCGCATTACAAATGCAATGTGAAGGCACATCAGCAAAGGATGCATACAGACGGATATTCCTCATCAATAGCAAAGGATTGATTACTGTAAACAGTCCAATAGTGAAGCCTGAGCATGAGAAATATGCCAAAGAAATGCCGCATATTAGCGATTTGCTTGAGGTTAGTTAAAGTTTAGAATTCGTTCCGCAATTTCATTAAATTAAGTAAATTGCTGGTAAATGAAGCTATTTTTTATAAATAAAAATGCGTAAGCGAAGAATACTCAAATAACCATGAGAAAACAATGAAATATTTACTTTACTGTAGCCACAGTTTTCAGTGGCGTGACACAGTATTTTAGATCATCGAGAAAGTTCGGCCAACCGGTATTATCGGTGCGTCAACCGTGCGGGATGCATTCTCTCAACAAATAATACAGAAAATGGCTGAGCTAAACGAACGGCCAATCATTTTTGCATTATCAAATCCGACCAGCAAATCTGAATGTACTGCTGAAGAAGCAATTCGATACACTAAAGTAGGCATTTTCGTTTTCGAGACTGCAGGTCAAACGTTTTCTACTAATTCATTCACGCACTGGAAATCTAATTTGTGCTGTTTCTCACAACTTCCTGCCATAAAATAGTCGTTAGTCGTGATCTATTAACAACGGATTAACCGCTTACCACTAAATGTCAGAGACCTCAACAGTTGCATCAAATCATTGCAGCAAAAATTATAGCATTTTTTTAAAAATCAAATTGGAATATAAAAATCTATAAATTTTCCGTATTTTAACTAGCAGAGATTTTTCTAATTTGTTGAAATTTCAGGGAAAAGTATTATTTGCAAGTGGAAGTCCATTTCCAGAAGTAAATTATGACGGAAAACGGTACAAGCCCGGACAAGGCAATAATTCGTACATTTTCCCGGGAGTTGGTTTGGGGGTTGTGTTATTTGAAGTGCGACATATCGACGATGAAATATTTTTGATCGCCGCGAGGGTTACTTTTCTATATTCGAAACATTTCATTCTTTATTTGTACGGTAAGTTATTGCCATATGCATAAACGATATCGAAATTACTTTTAATTCTATAATATAATATTTAAATTCATTATCTCCATGTCATTACGATCCGTTTTCATTTTGGTGCTTGTCAGAAGCTTTTAATTAAATTTTTAGAAAGTTGCATCTAGCGTAACCGAACGAGACATAAGTTTCGGTCGCATTTATCCGAGTCTTCGTAGAATTCGAGAAATTTCAGCTGCGATAGCACTAGAAATTGGACAATATAGCTATAAGGTTTCTGGGATCTTTGCTACCTCCTTAAACAAACGTGTTTGTGTAAGAACAGAAGATTTAAATATTTTTAACTTTTTCAAAATTCCAATTGATTCCACTTTTCATTTTCGTATAATAGAAAATTCCAATGATATTTTCTAATATTACTCATCAGGAAGACTTTTATTAAATAAAATAATGTCGTTATGTTTGCCACGTAGGTTAGAATTGCAGGTCAATGATGTTCCGTCATCGTCACTGTCGGCACAAGTTTTAAATCTTGAGTAATTTAACGAAAATTGACATTTTGTAATTTTTAGCACGGAATAGCTGGTCTATATCCGGAACCGGAAAATATGAAAAAATATATCCAGTCACAGATTTATTCGATACATTACGACGAATTGATCTGCGAACAATACAATTGGCCAATTGAAGATACGAAGAGAAACATTTCTGTTCCGTCAACCGATGAGAACAGTAACTGATTGGAATTTGTTTCGATTCCTTTGTTAGTTTTAGACCCCGCCGATGTTTATATGCTAGCATCAGTTATTTCACATGCCAAAAATGCAATTTTTGAAATTTCCTTGAACTTTTAAATAATCATTGGACTTTGGCTAGTTTTTTCTGTCGTTAAATTATAATTTAGCTAACAATTCACTTATCACTTGTGAGATTTCCATTAATTTTCAATCTGTCCCCAGAACTCTTGTCAGCTTCATTTATTTTGAGTAAAAATACACTAATATATTTCTCGTCTAAGTTTTTTAATCTAATTATTATCTAAAACGTAGAAACATTTTTGCAAATAACGGGTCCAACTATTAATCTATTTATCTAAAATTTTGTCTTCAATGCTAAAAATTTCGTGGGAAATGTTTACTGCCACATTTTGTTTGTATTGTACGAAATTTTCATCCAAATGGAAAATTGATTGAAGTAAATGAAAGTGACATGGGGGTATATCAAAAAGCAGCTAAATTCAATGGAAATTAAAAAATGCGAGAGTACTACGGTACAGTCTTCAGCTAACGAAATAATAAATTTGGAAGAGTAGCGATGATGATAAGATAAAATTGATGGAATTGGTACACTGTCACATTCTATCAGTCCATAATGCTTCACCCTGCAAGTTTTAAAAAATAGTACGCGATGAGCATTTCTTTGCAGAATGTAAATTACAGAAGTGGAGTGAATTGGAAAAAGAGAGAAAATCCTCGGGAAACGAACTTATGAAGTTACTGGTGGAGGAGAAAAGGATTCTGAATCTAGAAAGATTTCTAACGAATCAGTTATTTATTTCATAAAATGATGAGTAAAGTAGTAGCGAAAAAATTAGTCGCTTCTTGTCGTTACAATATATAATTTATTGATGGATTTTTTTGAACTGAACCATGAAAGCTGATGGAACCATTTAGGAAACTATGATAAAATACCGGAAAAATATGATAAAAACTGGAAGCAGCACCATAAAAAGACAAACATCGTTAAGAGGCTTAGATCAAAAGTTTCAAAGTCCAAATTCATTCATCTGATTCGCATCATTTTCAATGATAACACCACTCTTGCCAGTAATTTTATGAAAAAAATCTCCCTTTGATATAGAACTGCATATGCAAGTTGGATAAAAAAAACATGGAGTCTAAATTCTGTTTTTGCTCCTTCTTTTTTTACATCATTTCTCTGAAATCGATATTGGCACTCAGTTGTTGTATACTTGTATCGTTGTAGGAAAAAACTGAAATAAGTTTATATTTAAAAATATATATGTGTAATCAGGGTGCTGATATATTTATAAATCTATGTTGTAGAAAATCTTGTGCCAGTCAAATGATGGGATAACTTCACCCCTCAAATAACCAAGCGATTATTATTTACATTCACATCAGTTTTGTATCAAATGACCTCATGACCTCTTAATTCTGTCTACAAATGATCTATTACTTATTTACTATAAACAGTGCTCATCGAGGACCGCCCACACCCAAAGAAGCATATTTTAGCGTTATTGTACCGGAACGAAGAAATTCAACTGAATCCATATCAATTCCGTATCCAAATTTCAAAAGAATCAACAACAATCATATTGACCGTGAATCTTCCACGAAGAATAAACCTTTGCAATAGTAATTGTCCGTGAAACAAACTATTTAACCGAAATGTACGAAAGTGAGAGAAAAATGAAAAGGTCAGAGAGCGATTTCTGATCACTTAATTCTCATTTGTTTTCAAAGATGTAAATAATGTGCAATCTAATTATTTACATCTTTGAAATGTCAAGCGGTCGTTAAATTTCATGATCACTGTCTCCAAAAGGGATGCGCTTCATTGTCAAATGGTTGTAAACATTGTTTGCTTGATTCTCTCTGGTCCAAACAAGGAGCTTAAAATCTTATTTTCATTATCATATCAGTTATCACTAATCACTGTTATTCACTGCTGACTGTCAGCAGTGAATAACTCCGGCAACCAGTAGTATTTTGATACACTAATTCCTGTACTACTGCGACATCGACTGACCCTACTTGGTGGTATCCCTCAACGACTGTCATAACTATTCATCTGAATCACAACAACTTTCACGACAAAAGCTTAATTTAAAATAATGCTTCAAAAGGACAACTGACTGGTAAAAATTTAGCTCATGCGATATAAATATGAAAGAGAATGAAAAGCACCAAAAAGGATTTTAAGGAGAAATGAATATTAAATATGTATTCGGACCTGATGGATCAAAAATTATTGAGGACGATAATCGGATGGAAGATCGGGAATTCAAACGAATCACAGGAAATATCGATTTGTTCTGATGAATATTACCGCACTAGCATCATCATCACTGTCGTCACCAGAACTCAAGCATTCAACGCCCTGATCTCGTCATAATTGTTGAGGAGTAGGAGAGAAAGCCAGAGAGTCAGGGGGAAGCGGACTATTCACCACTCACTCACTCCATTCTGACAACTTTCGGCTTCCTACCCTCTCCTTCTTCCTCTCTCTCTGCTTCTTTTCTCCTCTATATGAGGTAATTTCTCTTCCCCGTCCATGTCCAAATTCGCCCTCTTATTTTTCGCATTTCATTCATGTTGTTTGTTCCATTTCTTAACAGAATATTCCTGTTAGAAGAGAAGAGCAGAGCAGTGTGTAAACACGAAAGGTCATCTGACCCACCAAGGGGTCACCCAATATCCTCAACGCTTTGAACTCAGATTTCCAAACTCATACATATTTATTCAGAAAACACTTTGCAAACATATTCCTTCATTCTTCGCTTCTCTGTGCATCCAATTTAACTTCTGAAGTGCGATGGTTGTAATAATGTTTTCTACTCAATAAAGGTCTTTTTCCCTTCACGGAATTGCGTTGTTCATCGATTCATTGATTGTTGCTATTTATCGGTTGGCGATAAATTTGAAAGAAACAAATTATTCACTAAATGACAGAATTATATAAAATTTCCTCTCTCTTCCGGCTTCTCACATTTGCATGCATGTAAATATTAAAGTTATTAATTGAATTGAGAAAAGAAAAGGGAGGGAACTGCACGATGTGTTGAGCTACGTGCCAACGCTGATGATCTCTACCAACTTCGCTTCTTCACATCAATCCAACTAGCCGGGTCGCACTGTGTGTTAGTTAGTTGTTGGTGCTTCTCATAAGTGCTATTTTAAAATTGAACAAAACGAAATTCATACTTACTGCAATTGATTGCTCCAACTGTTCCATTTCCGTTCATTTTTATTAGATTTTCTTCATTATGACAGAATAGAATGGAAATGGAATATTTACAACAAAAGAAGGAAATTTGTTGAATATTATTTTAAGTTATTTCCACGAAAAGTATTCATTTCACTCGATGTGATTAATTAAAGCACGAGGAATGAAAAATTGAGATGACATGCAGGCTATTGTTGCTTGGGAAAAAGTTTTTCAATTTTTAAGCACTCTCTTCTCCTTTCCTTTCTAAGCTCCTCTCGTCGTATTCATTTTTAATTACTTATGACTTTGACCGAAAAAATTCCGGAACCATCGAAGGGATTATAGTAGTTGTATGATTTTATTCGCAATGTTTCAGTGCAGGTCGGGAAATTAATACCTGTCGGTATTGGATTTTAGCATCACACGGTAGTACAAAGGATAGTACTCTCGTCGTTCATACCAAAATAAAATGTTAGATTCAAATTCATAGATTAACTTCAGACCGGGAAATGGTTGCATTGCTATCAATTTTTGCCGTATGGTTGACATTCTTTTCCATTTGCTTTACATTTTTGCCAATGTAAGTTATTTTTAAACTTTAATTACACAAAATTACTCTAACATCAGCTTACTGATACTACTAGCATTTACCAGAATTAAAAGATTTGATTGACATTTGTGATGTAGTTTAAATCACACTGCATATTATCCCGGTGCAAAAATAATTAACTTTCATTAATATTTATCATGGCATGTGTTTACAAATGCATGTAATATGCATATACAGTTTAGCATAAGTTAATGATTCAAACTTCAGGCTTCAAGTATTAAATTGGAGAAAACGTGGTACTGCTGATGGCTTCTCATCAGTTAATCTCGTTTTACCTGTCCTGATGTTAGTCACTCAGTCCTTTTATTTTACTTGTTTTTTTTAGATGTCCAATTCTTGATTGGCATTACAGCTATTTTCATGATTTTCAGGTCAATACAGTGTATAGTATATTAAGTTAATTTTTTGCATGAGATGTCAAAATGACTCAGTTTTTGAGACTTATCTATGACACTATGATAGGTAGCCTGACATAAAATTATTTCGAGTTCTCGAGATCTTTATTAATACTATTCCTCACGTAAGACTATCGCCTCACATAGGTAAACACGCATTAGCTTTTCGAAAACTGATTTATCTTTTCTACCGATATCATTCGAAAAGAGGAAATATCTGTTCGGGAATCGGAAATTAATCCGCAATACAAGGTTATGGAAATAAATTCATGAGAATTATTCCATAACAAAATATAATTAATCCTATTAAAACAAATCTCTCCAAGGAATAGTTTTCACCAACAAATTCGACTGTGTCACAACAAAGCTTTCCTAAACCAAATCAAATCACAACAGTGTCTTCCAATTATGGGCTAGAAATTGATGAGAATTATTTGCTGAGATCACGTAACACAGTTTCAGGATGGCTTGTTGGCTACGACATGGGTACATGACGAATGATTTCACGAATATTTTTATTAATACTGTAAACTTGGTCGTCTTTGCTGGTTATATCCTCGCATTTGCTTTTTATCAGCCGTGTCGGGTTAAGTATCATTGCTTTCTTGTCGTATCGCCTCCACAATGCTTATCTTTGAGAAACACACAGTTCCGACCAAAGCCATGTAATGAGGCTTATTTTCTCTGCAACAGTACTGTTATACTAGTCTAGGCCGTCATATATATCTTTAGAGTGAGAAGATTCAAGAGCGGCAAAACATATCATTTCTTTCCAACCCTTTTAATTCAACACATTTTTGCTTTAGCGTTATTTATGCCTGCAGCTTTTTGCACTATTTTTCTCTCTTTTTTGTGTATTTTCTTACGTGAGCTGGCAACCGGATGAGATAGCGACGGATACGATGGGCAGTATTTCCGCTGCTATGCAAATTATCAGCTTGGGTGGACAGATCTATGAAATTGTATGCTTGCTTTTTCTTGTAGAATTTGTGGAATTTCTTGTAGAAAAGCCTACAGTTGAAAGTTATCTTATCTTTGAGAAAAAGTTAGCAGATCAAAGTTTCAAAATTGATGGAAAAAATTCAACGGTTATTTTCGTGAAATGTTTACGGTATTACTGAATATCGTGCCCGTAGATGTTACTTAGCGCTTTAGTATGTTTTACACTACAAAAAAGTTTTTTTTTTATGGTGCCCGCCGTGATCAAACAGTAAGATATTTAGTGAAGAAGGAAAATATCCATGGATCTCCGCTGCATAATTTAATCCTTCAAAGCAGAATAAATGACATTTTTGTTTTCTCAGAAACGAGCAATATTCTTTGGCCATACGGAATTTATTCCGGCTGAACTGCAATTTGGAATTTTTTTTTTGGCAACGCAGTGGACTGTTTTTGGTATTCTGATTGAAAATTACTACATTGCTGTAAGTATGAATATTTTCTAGAGAATATGGTAGTTCGTTCCTGAGACTGATAACGCCACATTTGTTTTCTTGAAATTCATGACATTTTATTTATTTCAAAAAGAAAAAAGAATTCTTTCTTATAGGTTGCTAACTTTGCTGGACTTGTCGTAAATATTGCAACAATATCATTGTATTTCATCTATCCGCCGCTCACCTGGAAAGTTCCAATTATTGGTACCGGACCGCAGCAGAAGAAAACGGAGTAACAAATCTCCAGCTCTTCAGGAAAAGCTCTTTTGAAAAAATTAGTTCGCTTTAAAATTGATATGTTAGAAATTTTCCATTTTGGACATCGAATATTCATCTCCTGAAGCTTTAACCTGCTGCATCGTAACTTTCTTCATTTATATTTCAAAAATATCACGCAAAGCCTTCAGTAACTATAAAAATACCCGGGTGATTCACTACTTATGATCCCAATTAAACGATATCAATAATGAGTTAAACATTTTTCTCAACACTATTTTAGTAACTACTGTATCCTGAGAAAGTTAGAAGAACTTAACAATACTTTCAATTTTTCATCTGAACATCATTATTGATTTCAGCAGTTTTTTTCCTTCCACATTTCCCATCTCTCTCTTGTCGTACGACTTCATGTCCCCAAATATAAGAATAAGTTCGATACATACGTATCGTCACTTATTTATTATTGCTTGTCATTACATTTGCATTTTTGTGACATGTAGATGTGTGCCATAGTTTAGTGTGTATTATAGTGCATATTATTTCAAATATTCATTTGTGACAATTCAATAACAAATTTTTTGTTTATGACGATTTTTTTGCTGGAAATGAAAGAGCAAAGAAGAAACCATATACTTATTGAAGATGTGACATAATTGAATAATCGTAAAGAGATTCCAATCTGAAATTTACTTTTCGTTACTGCGGGAAAAATATTTTCCAATTCTTCAATTCTTTTTTATGACTTTACAAAAGAGGCAAATAGCGTGTCACAGGTAAATAGCAATATTGTTGTGCGAAAATATGCTGCATAATTTTATCAATTCAGAAAAATTTAAAAAATGGTATTTGTGCATAATTGTCTATTTCAGATTGTCATAAATATGTATGAAAGAATGATTTTAGCCACTCTACTTCAGTTGAGACATTAAAATGAGTTCATAAAGGAATTTGTAAAGGAATTTTGCATTCCAATTAAATCTACGAAAATGCGAAAGACAAAAGTTTTGGGAGAAATACACGTCGGTCGAAGCATTATTAATTTTATTTACTACATGTGATTTTAAGCATGAAAAAAAAATTTAAGAATGCCGGCGTGTTGATTTTTTTCAACTGTTGATAGTTATAAATGTCTTTCGGATGATTGGAGAGGGATTTAAGAGGCTTCAGCGAAATATCACAAAACACATTTTCTAATCAGAGCAAAATTTCATTTATTGAATTATAGATGGTTCTAGCAATAAATTTGGAGGTATTTTGATAGTATCAGTTCTAATCAAATCCTTTTTGTTTAGCTGTCGACTTGAATTACATTAAAATAAATGACACATTGTTAATGCACCTATCATATTAAACCATAAATTTCATTGTAGCAACAAATAAAGTACAGTAAATGACTGTAAGTAAAGAATCGAAATGTGTCGCAACGTTTGGCTGTATAGTGGTCGACGTGGAAGCCGTGCAATTGCTACACGTTTTGAAGCAAAAAATCCTTGCAACATCTGAATCACTTTGACAAACATCAGCTTCTACTTTTGTACAGTTCGTCCACTGATCCGAACATTCTCAAAGAAATATCAAATTTCGACAATGGCATTCACCAAATAATTCATAATTGTATTTTACGCTACTGCTTACGAAGAATTTTAATTAATAACTATTTGTAAGTCTAAGATGGAGATACTTTCAGCACGCTGCTATCAATTCAAATTAGAAATACGTTATTATGAAAAAATTTTTATCATCAGAATTGTAAATGCTAATTAATTGCTATTACAATCTGAATCGGCCATGTGAAAGGTCATGTTTGTGCGGCCGGGTTAGATATTGCATTATCTTCGCCGACTTCTACTGCAATTGGAATTTAGTTGTTGAAAGGAAATGCTGTAAATGCGCGAAGAAAATTGTATAGCATAAAGGGAAAGATGGTAGGATGAAATGTTTTAAAATTTGGAAGAAATGAATGCCTTCGGCTGGAGCAGCGGTTGAGGTACTGATGTCCGGACCACACAAACTGCATGTCTTGGGACAGTATTTCTTGATCTCATTCAAGGAACAAACATCGATTACTGTAGCATTGCAAAAGACAGATTCATCCTTGCATTCTGAAATCGTGTTAAATTCTCCTGTCACTTCTGATTCCTTTTATAAAACAGTTTTCTTGCACCTAAAAGAATGTGAATTAATCAGTCCACTCACGTATATATTTCATAATTGCAGCAACTATTAATTGGCTGAATTAACTATCTCTGATTGCATCAATTAATCACTTTTCCCCATAGACGACGTATCGGCAAGAAAAGTTATTGCACTAAGGTCATAGTCTATTCCTATTTCAGTTAGTAATTATGTGGCAGGAATGCTATGAATTTCCAAATGAGCTGAAAACTTAAATTAATATGGTAGAGATAGGGAAAAGGAAAGTTCATCCAGTTTGCTTTAAGAATTTGAAAAAAAGCAAAATATAACTTATCAAACCTTTTGCATTACAGAAAGCAAAATATATGAATGATGTAACAAATCCCGCTGCGTAGAACATTCTGCAATTTGCAAAAAAAGTGAAAAATTTTAATATTCATTATACATTCTTATAACATTATCATCGTTTAATTGGATTTGCAGGAAAGGGTTTCAGTAATCAGATAAGCAGTTACTCTAGTCGAACAAAAAGATTGATTTCTAATTGTCTAAAAATAACTTCGGAATTAACTAAATCGACCACTATTAAGGTCGATTTAGTTAGTTCCGAAGTTTTTTTTCTAAAGAATGATAATCAATTGATTGTCATTCTTTAGCATAATCTATCACAATTTCATTCTACTTCTATGTAAATATGAATATAAGCGAATTTTAACAATCAAAGTACGATTTGAGAAATGTCCCAAACATTTGACTATGATATTGACGACAATTTCGTCGTTAGCTTAAAAGGCTAATAAAGCAAATTATAATTATAAAGTTGTTTCAGTCGTTCGATGTTAGCATTAAACGACTATCCCTCATTCCGCCATCGATAACTATCACCACTTCGATTTTGTCCATTTTTAAACACCTTTGTTTGAATAGTATGCTAATATTCGAATGCCATTTGTATCGCTTGAATCATATTCTGAATAATTCTTGTCATTATTCAACATGTGTGTGTGTGTGTGTGTGTGTGTGTGTGTGTGTGTGTGTGTGTGTGTGTGTGTGTGTGATTCAGCTGTTCAAATTGTATTTTAAGATTTTGAACAGAGAATGCTTTTAGATGCGTCACAAAACAGAAGACATGAAATCACACAAAATCCTTCGAATGTAGATAAAAATCGGAAGTTCTCGAATAATAAGACAACAGTAATAATTTAATATTTGAACTTCTTTATCAATGAATTGATACTTCCACTATTAAGCTGGAAAAAGATTAGGATAAATTAAGATCATTGAATTAGACAGAGATCAATAATTGGTTCTTATCCGGTTAATTAATTTCAATTGTTGAGTTTTTAGAAAGAAAAAAATAGGAAAAATCATAACTGAACGGAAAGTGCTGAAAAGTGAAGGTATGATGAAATACGAATATTATTCCATTTCGAATGTCAACCAACATTTATTCAGCCTTAGCAAATAAACTCTCAATTCATTCGTAATAAAAACTGCATCCTTTTTTATTACGGCCTAAATCAATTTTGAAAATTTTCAGCAGTATTGAAACTATCTTTTTGCTAGTCAGTTCATATGCAATACATTTTTAATACTTTGAAAAATTTACGCAGTTAGCAGTAATTCTATGAAATCGTGAATCTGCAGATTACAGAAACAACATTCGACAAATAACTCGAGAAAGACTGCATAATAAGCATAACATTTTTTAAGCAGTTCGAACGTGTTCACAAGTATTTTGCAAGAGAAAACGAATAAAACAACGTCAGCGTGATGCGAACTAATTTTGCTGATAAAATTGCTCTTATCATTATATTGGTATTAAGTATTGACTAAGATGATAATGATATCACAATGTTCGGTAATTCTGATTTCCAATCTAATTAGAACTAAATACTATCAAAGAAAATTTCGGATTGTGTTAGAATTGAAAATGTAATGTATAATGCAAGGATTAAAAATGATTACTTGGAATTTATCCCGAGAAACGCGGGAGCAATAGTTTGATTGAGATTGACTATGCAAACTGCTTTTAATGTTTATTTTGGTCATATTTGACCTGTTTTAGCCAAAACTACAAGCCAACTAAAATGATGAAATGCAAGATTAATGACAGACTAAACCCAACGAAGGCTAAAGTTGAATTCAACAACTTTTGACCAACAAACTTCAATTTCGAATATGAAATTGTTCGATTGTGTGACTTGACATACATAAAAAGTTAGAAATTAACTAGAAATTCAGATCCACTTTACGAAGAAAATCCCGCAGCATCAATGACTGATATTCCGCACCACCCGCGGGGTCGTGCACAGAATATGAGCGATGTCCGGTCCGAAAAGACTTGAGGTGCATTCGAAATCGCTTTCTCAACGCCTTCATTTGAGAAGCTTTGAAAGTGAAATATTGTCATTTTGATATGATACATTGTATTCATGGAAGTTAAGAAGCTTTGTTCATTAAATAATTCAAGGCCATGGTAAATTGAATCTGCAGACAATACATCCCAACTACATTATAAATTAATTCTAAACTGATGGCATTAGTAAAGGATGCGAATTTTCTGCCATTTCTATCAAAAGTGCTGTGTGCTTTCCTTTGTATTTCAAGAGATAGCAGTCCACGTGGGAACTTTATTAATTTTGCATAAAGTAAAGGTTCCAAATTTGTCCATTTAAAGCTTCACTTGCACTGTTGACAGCGGAAACAAAATCCATTGGGAATGGTTCCGACGATCCATCCGATGAGTTCACATATTGGTTCCAACGGCCTGCATAAATAAGGACACTCTAAAATAACCTACATTGTGAAACTGAAGATCGATGCTTTCAAAAGATGGGAAAATATGACTTCCTTTTGATTACTGTTTACAACGAAAGGC